TTGATGGGATACGCATTCTACGAAACTAGTTTCATTGATCCAACCGTCAAGCATGTTTGTATATACTTCGAGATCGCATACACCAAAAATTGCAAAAACAAACATTCTGAGATCAAGTAACGGTACAAAACTTTTCGACGGTTATAAAAAAAAAAATTCACGATTTAACGGTTATTTTAACTCTGATTTTGATGATTTTTTTTACAGGTACACTCCTTAACCCTATATGAATATAATGAATGAACTCGATCTTTAATTTAACATATTTACACTAGTGGATACCATAAAATCTTATATTATACTTAATGAAATATAAACAAACTCTTAAGTGTTAGTGAATCAATTGTTTTGATGGGATACACATTCTATGAAACTAGTTTCAACGATCTAGCTGTCAAAGATGTTTGTATATACTTCGAAATCTCATATGCCAAAAATTGCAAAAAAAAAAAAAAAAAAAAACATTTAGAGATCAAGTAACACGACAAAACTTTTCGACGATTATCAATGAAAAATCACAATTTATTTAACTCTGATTTTGATGATTTTTTACAGCTACACTCCTTGACCCTATATGAATACATTGAATCAACTTGATCTTCAATTTAAAATATTTACACTACTAGATACCACAAAATCTTATGTTATACTTAATGAAAGTATGAATAAACTCTTAAGAGTTAGTGAATCTATTATTTTGATGGGATACGCATTCTACGAAACTAATTTCAACGATCCAACCGTCAAACATGTTTGTATATACTTCGAGATCGCATACGCCAAAAATTATAAAAAACAAACATTTTGAGATCAAGTAACGGGAGAAAACTTTTCGACGGTTATCAACGAAAAATCACGATTTAACGGTTATTTTAACTCCGATTTTGGTGATTTTTTCACAGGTACACTCCTTGACCCTATGTGAATACAATGAATGAACTCGATCTTCAATTTAAAATATTTACACTAGTGGATACTACAAAATTTTATGTTATACTTAATGAAAGTATGAATAAACTCTTAAGTGTTAGTGAATCTATCGTTTTGATGGGATACGCATTCTATGAAATTAATTTCAATGATCCAACCAAACAAGTTTGTATATACTTTGAGATCGAATACGCCAAAAATTGCAAAAAACAAACATTTGGATATCAAATAACGAGAGAAAAGTTTTCAACGGTTATCATTGAAAAATCATGATTTAACGGTTATTTTAACTCCGATTTTGATGATTTTTTACAACCACACTCCTTGACCCTATGTGAATACAATGAATGAACTCGATCTTCAATTTAAAATATTTGCACTAGTGGATACTACAAAATATTATGTTATAATAAAAGTATGAATAAACTCTTAAGTGTTAGTGAATCTATCGTTTTGATGGGATACGCATCCTACGAAACTAATTTCAACGATCCAACCTTCAAAATTGTTTGTATATGCTTCGAGATCGCACACACTAAAATTAAAAAAAAAAACAAACGTTCAAAGATCAAGTAAATGGACAAAACTTTTTGACGGTTATCAATGAAAAATCAAGATTTAACGGTTATTTTAACTCCGATTTTGATGATTTTTTACGGCTACACTCCTTGACCCTATATGAATACAATAAATGAATCGATCTTCAATTACAATATTTACAATAGTGAATACCGCAAAATCTTATGTTATACTTAAAGGAAAGTATGAAGAAACTCTAAAGTGTTAGTGAATCTATTGTTTTGATGGCATACACATTCTACGAAATTAGTTTCAACGATCCAACTGTCAAACATATTTGTATATACTTCAAGATGGCATACGCCAAAAATTGCAAAAAACAAACATTCAGAGATCAAGTAATGGGACAAAACTTTTCGACGGTTATCAATGAAAAATCACGATTTAACAGTTATTTTAACTCTAATTTTGATGTTTTTTTTACAGTTACACTCCTTGACCATATATGAATACAATAAATGAATTCGATCTTCAATTTAAAATATTTACCCTAGTGGATACTACAAAATCTTATGTTATACTTAATGAAAGTAAAAATAAACTTAAGTGTTAGTGAATCTATCATTTTGATGGGATACGCATTCTATGAAAATAATTTCAACGATCCAACCATTAAACTTGTTTGTATATGCTTCAAGATTGCATACGCTAAAAATCGCAAAAAACAAACATTCAGAGATCAAGTAACAAGACAAAACTTTTCAACGGTTATCAACAAAAAATCACGATTTAACGGTTATTGTAACTCTGATTTTGATGATTTTTTACAAGTACACTCCTTGACCCTATATGAATACAATGAATGAATTTGATCTTCAATGTAAAATATTTACACTAGTGGATACCACAAATTCTTATGTCATGATGATCGATGAAAATTGAGGATTTTGTAAAAGGAATATATGCAAGCTTTGAGTTTCATTGGCAAGGTTTAAATTTTTGAGAAAGGCTTCACAACCTTGAAAACAAAAACTCTTTCATTTTGCATATCCTTGCACATTTAATATTTTGTAATAGGCTAGTAGTGTATGGATGTTTGTTTATTAGGCTCTTATTTTCAAGTGTAGATGTAGTACTTAAACGACAAATGTGCTTTAATGTTTTGAAGTAATATTTATGTGGCATTGTGTGGTATGTGAAAATTTAAGAAAAAAATACATTTTTCTTAACGGGTCATAGAGAGTCATAACGGGTTGGGGTAAAGTGACCCGACCTGTTAAGGACCTGTTAAGATAACGGGTGTGACACGACACGGCCCATTAATATAACAGGTGTTACACGAACACGGCAGACACGACCCGTTTGCCAGGCATAGTCACAAGCAAAACAAGATTTTATTGAAGACCTTGATTACACGCATTCGTGTAGAGGAAGAGGCAAGAGGACAAGATGTTATCATGCAAGACAATGGTAATTCTATCAAGATTAATTTAATTTCGTCAAACAATAACTTGCCTAAAAATAATTTTCCTAAAGTTGTTCTTTTTCAACCTAAGAAGACAAATATGAATAATAATTGCTCACTAAATTTATTTAATCATGTATTTATAGTAATAAATAAATTCTATAGGCAATTGGATTTCATCTCCATAAGACTTACACTACAAGTCAAAGCTCAGAATTCAATCCAATCAAGGAATCTATATTTCGCTAGCCTACTCAACTTGAGGTTCTTAACCTCCTGCATCTCCTACGCGTAGCATGATAGGTGTGCGACCATTTGTGGAGCAAAAAATAATTCAGAAAATCTTGAAGCTGACACATACTTTTATTCACTAATAACGGGAATGCCATCATTTATTGGCAAGACCCACATTCATTTAACACGTAATTCTAATCACCAATAAGCCCTGAGTTGTTGACTACAATTTGTTCAAACTCCTCACCTGACAAGGAGATACAACAAGAAGATTAAAACAGAATTAATAACTAATTTCTATCGGGATTAATAGAGCAAAGTAGAGCACCATATCAAATTCTTGGTTAATTCGATACCCAATTTCAAAGCGTTGTGACAACTAGGTTGAGATTTCAAGGCATCACTAGCAATTAAAACTGATTCCTCATTCTCTATGGTTTTACTTGTACGATGTTACAAGTGTTTCAACCATTGATCTTAATTTTAAACTTAAGATCTAATAGTTAAAAGTAATAGAGTATCGTTGCTGATTCAAATAATTTTAAGTTATGTTTCGGTCTCTGGCTCGGCTAAACACACTTTCATCAAAATGTTTTGACCTAATTGGGACGAAAGAAAAGAATAAAAGGTCAATATCATGTAAAACTGACGTCTTCAAAAGACGGGTTTTAGGGCAAGTTAGTATCATGGTCTAGTGGTATTCCTCTCCATTTATAAATGAGAGATCTTAGATTTGATTCTTGATAAGGGCAAATTTGAATTACATTATTGCTAGCCTATTGTGAAGCTTGCCCCCCTTCCCCCCACCCCTTTAAAGCAACTCCACCCTGTCCAAAATGAGCTGGCCAATAGCTTATTTTTAAGCCTAGCACCCCCAAAAACCCACTCCACCCCATCCAATTAGTTGGCCCAAACTGGAAGCCAACTTTGAGCCCAGCACAAAATAAACTGACCCAAAAACTAGGCCATGTGACTTCAGGCTGACGTCAGCATGATGTCAGCCATGTGAAATAATTTTTTTTTGCGGCTAGCGCGTGGGTGCAGATTCCGGACTTAAAAAAAAAAAAGTCAAAAATCTTACTGTTGGCCACGTCTCCACTTTTGGGCTATTGGATTTCAATCTTTTTAAAATCCAATGGTCCAGATTAATTAACTTACTAATATTTAAAAAAAATTGTAAAAATTGTTTAAAAATACAGCAAAAATAAAACTAATTATATATATATATATATATATATAAATACCTAACTATCTTCCACAAATATTGTACTTTTAGATAATGACACGTGGCATGACAAAATTGGTTAAAAATCCTATCCGAAATTAAAATAAAATTAATAATAGTTTAATACGAGTTGACTAGGCTATTCAGTTTAGAGATGGAAATGTACTTTTTTTTTTCTTTTTCCCGAAGATACATTTATATTAAAGATGAATAGAAATGTTTACATCCTTAGCAAAAATGTTAAACAAAGATTCTGGGCCAATACAATCCCAGACAAAAGCTCGACCCTCCTTAAAAACAAACTTAGCCACCTAATGAGCAGCACGGTTACTCTCCCTAGACACAAAAGCAAACGTCACTGACGTCAACCTTCGTGCTAGAAGCTCAATGAAGAATGCATTCAAGACTAAAGTCACGAGACACTTCCTTCCTAGGCATCTGGATAATCACCTTAGCATCAGATTCGATAATCACGTTAGCAAGCCCATTGTCAATGCAAGCCAGCAAGGCATCACTATTCATTGCAGTCAATGATTGAAGAAACTCTTGCCTACGGAGATTTTTAGGGGTGGAATTGCTTTTAGTTTAGATAATATCCTTTATTAAAAAAATAAAAAATAAACAAGGTTCTAGGTAAAGCATATCTGTATTAACCCCCATCCAATGTTGTATAAACAGAACGAATATGAGGGGAGCAAGAACATGGATTACAGTCGCCGGCAATACGGCGGGTTCTTGAATAGCTACCAAGTAAGAAAATTAAGACACTGCCAAAGGAAATCCCCTCTAACCTCTAAAACTGTGAAAAATCGTAATCTAAACCTGTAATGTACATCAGCGCTTGGGCAATGATCGGGAAGAACCCTATAGAAAACCGAGAAACGAAAATACACCACATCTCAACAGCAGCCAAACCTGTCCGTTTCTTTCACTCCCTCTGATGAGGTATCGGTCATTGTGATTTGGAAGAGAGTTGTACGTCAATTTGAAAATCATCCTCATCCAAGCCAGGAGGAGATAATGGTGGAACTGCCAACGGGTGAGAGGCATCGTCAGTGAATTCCAAGACCCTTCTTGCAGTTGCTTGAGAATCTATTAGTTTACCAATCTTTCTAGAAGTAATTGCCCCAGACGTTGATTCCCTAGAGGAGTTGCTACTCTCAACCAATGACAAAAACTGATTTTTTGAGAGATTTGTTTGTGCAGCTGATGCAATTACCAAGCTGAAAACACCCGATTCCCTTAATCCTTGAATGATGACCTGAAACAGAATGAAATCAAGTCAGGAGTCCAACCTCACAGCAATTGTATCATCTCACAATTAGTTACCATATTGATTGAACCAAGAAAGAAAAGCAAGGCAAGCCGCCATGGTATAGAACTAACCATCGGTGCATAAATCCGAGTCAAGATGCCCTTCCTTTGAAGTTTTAAGTTTAGAGTTTTGTCAGTCCACACAATGTGTTCCCGGTACCTAAATCACAGAAGGGACTTTAAGACTAGGAACCTAAACAAATTTCAACTTTGAGACCTACTTACATCCGACTCTCAAGGATTTCCAACAATTTCTTGTTAGAAGAAATCCTTTTCTTTGTAGGAGTGGAGAGACAATTGTTACTAAGCAAAAGCTAGAAACCCCACATTGAAGTGATCAACGTAACTTAATGCCTAAATGTTTCTGCACCGCCACATAACAAGGATAAGAAAATCTATTGGTGATTGTGATAATAACTATTACCAGCTAAGCATTTCCTCCTCTGTTGCAGTGGAAGCAATTATGAATGCCTGCAAAAGATGAGAGGAAGAAGTGTAAGCATGACAAATCAAATTTAACCAACTGTCGAGACAACTGCGCTGAAAAGAAAATCTAATATCGGAAATACGGCGACACCTCAAAGACTTTCTCGTCCCTCAGACTTCAACAAAATTTGTTTTCATGAATTACACTTTTACAATAATAAAAACCATACAAAAATAAAATAGGAGGTAGTCCTGGGACATCTCCAACAAATCTTCAAATATTACCACAACAATAACGAGCTTAATAAATTTACAATCATAACAAATGTAATATCAAGGTTAGTCGTCAAACATAATAAATGTATATTCGACCAAAAAACAAATATATATATCAAGATTAAATTAGATGGTAAAATGTCAAGGGGGAAAAGTAGAATAATATACGAGGCAACAAAGAACATAATAAGAACACAGGTTTAAGAAGTTCAGAACTCACAGCTCTGTCAAATTCCAACATGAAACATCTTTTAACATCGTCCTTGGTAGGCTTGCAACCACACCGATCACGTCTAGAGGTCAAATCAGAAAATTTGGGATACGTATAATGCAGAACAGCAGCCTCATCCAATTTGATCTCACTATAAAATATCATAAGGATGAAGGCTAAGTAAATACATATAACCAAGGAGAACACTAGTAATCAACTACAAGCAGAAGGACTGTTTACAATGCTCGTAAATTGGGAATATACTGGAATGATTAGTCAATTGCAAAAGGACAGAAGTATTATATAGACGCATGTTTAAAAGGTTGATAAAATATTTTAGATAGAATAGCCATACTTTGGCGTCTTCATATAATTGTGCCATCTGTGTGCACCATTAGGGCGAAGGTGATCTTGAATTCGAGCAGCTGATTTCCCATTTCCATATGTTAGAAAGTAGTTTGGGTTGCCCCGAGTTGCTTCTTTATAATTTCCAAAATATACATCCTTTGGAAGATGGTCATAGTTTTTCTTGAACATTGACACCTACAAGAACATAAACGATAAATGATAATGGTCAGCAAAAATTTGTTGTGTTCTTTTTTCATAAAAGCAAATAATGTAATGATTCCACAAAATTGATTCACTTTCTCTTCATGAGCATTTGAAATTATTTACAGTAATTATACCTCACTGAAAGGTTCCTTGATATCGTCATGCTCTACACTACTTTCCTGAAGAAACACAAGCAGATGTCACCATAAATTAAACTTATTCTCATATTAGTGTCAATGGTAAATTTAAAAAAGCAAATAGACTAGAAGTCTGATCAACTATAATTTCTTGAAATCAATAAAATGCATCATTAGTAAAAAGACCAAAATCCACATTCAGGGGCGCAGTCTAGCTTTAGACAGTAAAGCGTAGCATTCCTCTACAGAATGAATATTGAACTTGTCTTTACAGTTGGAGTTCAAACTTCAAACAATGGAAGACGGCCACTCTTTGCTGTATACCCTAAAAACCCATATGACAAAAAATGTGTGGAAAAAAACTATATCTAGATAATCACTTACATAATTTGGAAAGATAACAATATCAACATTTCCAGGTACATCGGACAACAACTGTCTCAAAGAGTACTCATGAGTGCCTGCTGGATATATTAGCTCATCAGTGTCAAGATGGATGATCCAATCCATGCCAGCTTCCTAAAATAGTAGAAGGAAATGTTACAAACTATATCAAGCTGGAAAAAGAAGAAATTGTGCTGTGTGCAATGAAAGAAAAAACTTCATACCCTTGCCATGACAATAGCCATCTCCATGTTAAGGGACTGCTTCACAAACAACTCATAATTACACGGCTTATAGAAGAAGCTAGACAACCAAGTCTCGTTCCAAATCCGGCTAAGTAAACAAAACAAAAGGCATAAATAAACCATCAGATCATGGTAGTAAGAGTATGAGAGAACTGCAGGACTGTCTTTTTTCATTAAATTGAATTTTTCTCTTGACAAAAAAGTGCTCTAATCTAAGCTTATTTATTCATTCGTCAAAAAATTGTGGAAGAGGAGTCCGTTCCGTACATTTGACAGACCATCTTGAAAGTAAAGTTCTTTATCTTACATTTACCCATTCTAGAGGGGAATCAAAGATATAAAACAGCCTAGTGAAAATGAAAGAGTACCAACCTTTTAGCTTGCTGCTCCTCCAATTCCTTTGTCCTGTATATAACCTTCACTCCCTATAACACGGGTGTTGTATCGCATGAGAACTTGGCAAACCAAAACTAAAAAGAAACTAAGCTTATAGACATCAACTGAGTTTTGTTCACTGGTAATATATTTAAGTGAAGCATTGAACTAGAACTCACCGGAATGGTTTCTAAAACTTTAGATACTTTAGGGGATGCAGCCTTCCCTTCCACGAAAAGGAAAAAGTTTGTTACTCCAATAACCTTATGATAAAAGATCCATGGCAAAGTTTGCTCTAAACCAGCTGAAGTGCTTGTTTGAATGGATATCTGGCACACACAAAAATACAGACGGGTCGTGAGATGGCTCCAATGCCATGGTTGTATAAATTTATAAACATACATCATGGCAATCAATGCAAAATCAAAGATCTAAGACCAATTGGAAACACGATTCCATATCATTTATACAAATAGCAAACTGGAAAATCCACGACACACATAAAACCTAATGCACCCGTGACATAAAATTCTACTTGAACATTTTTTTCCGGTTTTCCTTCAATGTAAAATGATCGGTGTTGTTCCTTTAAATTTAGTTCAATTCGTGCTTCCATCCACAAGTCATAACGCCAATATTTACTAGTTCATCAGTCGTAACATTGCCTCTTCATGTACCGATGCCTAGTACAACTTTAAATCACATCATGAAACCAGAAAATCGCCGTAGAATTTAGACATTGACAACTAAATAATAGAATCCAATCATATTTAAAAAGATATGGCACAATGACATGGTTTAATCAGAAATGACAATGTAAATGCCAAAACAACCAAAAGAGTAATCTACTACAGAACAAATCCCCAAGCATAGATTCTCAGAGCCAATCAGATCCCAAGATCCAAACACAATCAATCAAATCAAATCCAAAACACTATCAATCAAATTTCGACAAACACCAATCGCAATAAAAAAATCAAATCAAATCGAACACGCACACACAGACCTTGGGCCTCAGATCGGAGGCGTAATCGAACTTCCAATCCTTGTAGTAAGGGAAGGCGGGGGAGTGGCTCCGACCCAGAACATCGACACAGTCAGAACCCGAAGAACGTAAAGCCTGGCGTTGAGGCCCACCCGTCTGGACCATCCCAATCATGCCGGGGAACTCGTGGCGGTCAGGCGACCACCGGGTAACGGGGTCATTGAGGCCGCCCCGCCACTGGAGAACGAAGGCGAAGGCGGCGAGAGTCAGGGGGAGGACAGTGAGGAGCAGGAGGAGGCGGGAGGCGAAGGTCTGGAAGGAAGAAGAAGATGCAAACGACGAGGACGAGGAGGAAGACGAGGTGGGTCTGGAGGAAGAGTAGAGACCCGCCATGGGAGGTTGACGAGAGAGGGACAGGAGAGAGATGACGTCTCTGGTCTGTGCATATATATATTTAACGGCTAAATTGTGTATGTATAGAGAGAGATAGAGAGAAGGGGGGAGGAGAGAGAGAGTTTTGAATTGTAATTTGGAACCGAAGGGGAGGAAAGGGAGTTGGAAATCCCTCCGGAAAGACAGACAGACTGACAGACTTTTTGTTGTTTGCGTCGACAATGTACTGCCGGCCTTCACAGTTTTTTTTTTTTAATTTTTTTGGAAAGGTTTCTTTTCTTATATTTTTCCCTTTTACAAAGCTACCAACACAAAATACCTTCAAGTTAATATATTTTCGATACAATATTAAAATAATACGTTTTCTATTTAATATTGATACATTCTTTAGAGTGTTTTTGTCAAAGAGACCTAATTTTGGTTGTTGTATCTGTAAAAGGGCCTAATTTCTCAAGATTAAAACAATTGGGTGCGAAAATCACTTCTCATTTCAAAATGCAATATTTCTCTAAGTATTGTAAGTACGTTTAATTTGAGCTATTTTTTATGTGTTTAATTTGAACTATAAATAGTAATTGTCACATGCTATATGTGTTCATACGCCCTCTAGAACTCGGTTTTAATTTCATTTTATTCTTTGTAACTCAAAAGTCGTCACTTCACTTCCTGAGACTCATCATGCTCTCCATTTGCCCCATGGGACTCGATTTTGATTCAGTTTTGCTTTCTGAAACTTGAAAGTCGTCTATATAAAACTCAAAATTCATTCCACATTATCTTAGATCTATTAATTTCTTATGTGGGTTTGATTTGGGTGTGTTAAGCCAATCAATTTTTTTTTTTTCATCTCTTCAATTGCTTTTAAACTTAATATTCTTTAATTGTTGAATGTTAACACATAATGGAGATTTATAATAAAATTTATTGCTTGTGTGACATAGTCCTATTGGGTATTGGGTCCCACACATGTTCAGGAAAAAGAAAGAGCTCACAAGTCAAAGTGGAACGAATTTTAAGTTTCAATAAATAAAGTGTTGTCTTTTGAGCTACATGAACAAATAATATCAAAATAAAGTGTTAGAGGACGTAGCTAAAAATAAGCCCTAAACTTAACCTTTGCATCGAACTTTCTTGCTGTTACAAATAACACGTGGTCATTATATACACAGAAAAGCAAGACTTTTAATGCTTCGGGCTAGAAATTAAAGGAGGAAAATAAAAAATAATATAATTTCAATGCATTAAATGTCTTTTTATTTTGTATAAAAAATGACAGGACACTTGTCAAATTGAGAAATTTCATTTGCAAAGGTTAATGTAAGCATTTCTCTTATTCGAAAACTTACTTGGGTCTCTTACTCATCAGACTCATCTTCGTGTAGAGCATTATATCTTTATTTAAGATAAAAAATGAATCAATCGTTTTGTTATTTTCATTCAATACATAAGTGTCAAAACAAAGTCGGGTTGTCAGAATTTTTAGCTAAAGCTTAGGACGCGTTTGTTTGGTTTCGTTAGAATTCATTGGACTGGACTGAGACCGTGTTTGGAAGCGCTTGGACTGGACTAAGTCGGGCTCGTGCCGACTAAGTCCTTCGCTAGCTGATCTTAGCTAAGCCCCTCGAAAACTACGGGATTGCTAATCCCGTCTCCACCACCAACATCCCGCGAACCCAGTCATCAAAATCCAGCCTTTTTGCCGATCTCCATCGTCATGCCAACCCAACCCCCTATTTGCTTCCCGACGAACCGACGAAGGAACACTTAATCAATATGCGGAAATGGGTTCTCCATTTTCGTCGATTGAACTAGAATTAGACCCATAAAACGGAGATAACGGTCACCGCCTGAAGAACTTTGGATCCGAAAACGATATTCGCAATTTGAGATCCCTCTGCTACCTGTAGCTCCTGCGCCAAGCGCTTCCTTGGAGGTGAAATAAAATGAGTACAAGGGGCGAGAGGGGAGAGGAGACAGTGGTACAGATGTGAAACGGTAGAAAAAGGAAGGGGGAGGAGGAGACAGTGGGTGAAGTAAAAAAATGAGATTTTAAAAAAATGAGAGATATAGTTATCGGAGAAGACGATGAATCTAGCACAAATGGAAAATGATAAAGAAATAATAAATTATTAATTGATATAGATTAAATTAATAATCAATTTTTAATAGATATAGATTAAATAATATAATATTATAATTCGGTTTTTTAGTCTGATATTTCATCAAACGCTTTACTAAATCAATTCAGCTTAATTTATTATAAATCAGTTCAGTTTAGTCCTTAAAATTAATTCAGTCCAAAATAGTCTGATACAATAAACGCATCATTAATGTCGATAACCATTTGGTCCAGTAACATATGTCAAAATTTAGAATTCAGTTATTTAATAAAATGTAAACAAAAATGGTCAGTATTCTCTAGAGCTTTTGGAAAGAGGAAAAGAAAAAGTAATTACTTTATATTCAGCGTTTTTTTCTCTCTTTAGACAAAAGAAAGAGACGGGGGTTGTACTTAGGCATTGCTCCCAAGAGACCACATATCACGTGTTATGTATTTAAAAGCGACTCCTTCGTGCACTAATTACAAAAGCAAAAGTGTTATTATTGAAGGTGACTCTAAATTCTTGATCTAAATTCAAAAGTGTTATGTTAAATAAGAACTAAAGTAATAAAAATATTTTAATTTGATAAATAATGGGTTAAATTAATTTGATAAAAATTGAGGATATTTTTGTCATTGTATCTTTATTTAATGAAGATTTTTCATAAAATGATTAAAATGATTAATGGTGGACGATCTTACGGACCACTAGTATTGATTTCAAATTTCAATAACCAAAGTGAAGAGTTATGCCAATCTCAATGATCAATTTGCATAAAAAGCTAATCCAAATGAATAATGTTAAGGAAACCAAAATTTAAAACTAAATTTGCAAATCAAAATTCGTAATCTCCAATCTCAACGTACTTATAAGAAAGCAAATACAATAGCCAACGTTCTTGCCAATTTACTTTTTATTTTTATTTTTTTTAAATGAAAAGATGATAATGAATTAAAACAAACGAACTAACTAAAATTTTGGTGGTTGAATTACAATAGTAATCTTACTTTTTAAACTCGCACAAATCAATTAGAAAGAATCAAGACTCTTAGATTAGCCCTTAACTGCAAAGTAGAAGGATCTTGCAAACCGAAACATAAATACGATCATGCTTGTATTTGTTGAGGTGGGAACATGAGAGAGAATGATAGGAGGGTGAGAGTACCAAATTTGGTATGCCTAGCTGTGCCTGCTACCATTTATGAGCTCTCTGTATTGCTTAAGCAAATTACATATCAGGGTAGCAATCCTCGCCATTGAAATTGCCATATGTGTTTGTAAATTGTACTTATCGTCCCCACCTACTGTTCTACAAAAACCGACATTGAAGAGAGAAGGCGGCTACTCTAAAAAATGGTGGCTACGCTGGAATGAGGATTCATCTCTAAATCATCTTTTGAATCTTTTAATTGTGTCTGTTTATTGCTTATTATGAAGTCAAAAATAATTTTAAATTTTTTTATTTAAAATTGAAGACAAACAGTAACTGAAAAAAAACTAACCACATGATGTATGATGAACGTACACGATTAAAAAATCTCTAAGATTTAAAAAGGATCCGGAGAGAATTCTCACTTGTTACACTAGGACTGGATCGAAACTGTTCTAATGGTGTCTGGCCACGAATCCTACTCAAGAATTATTCCAAAACTTAAACGTGCACGCCAACTTTTTTACAGTTTGACTTTGAAACTCATTTTCCAGCTTCAGAAGCAAGCGGTCCTTTATTACGGTATAAAAAAGTAATCGAGTCTTTGTACGACGATGTAAATTCGAACTTCATCGGTGGTTAATTTAATATTTAATCTAATAAAATTTATTATTTGACAAAAAAAAATCAAATAAAAGAGTTTGGCTTCAAACTACTCAACTTTTTATCCCTTAGTTGATAACAAGGGAAAAAATAAAGGAAAAAAAATGATTTGAAAAGTTTTAGTTTTAATAAAAAATCATGTTATAAATTTTGTTTAATAATTAGTACAAGGCCCATATTAAAGTAGTCCAACTAAAAATGGTCCAACTATAATAAATTATGATTTGTCGATTTTATCTCTAACTTTTTTAGGTTGAGTTCCAGATTTTCATTGTTAATGGAGTTCATCGTTGTTTTGCAGACCTTATTTTTCTTTAAAACAAAAATATAGATCCTCATGCTATATTTGAAATGTGATTGTCGTTATTATTCATAGTGTATTTGAAATACTGTTTTTCAATTTTTCTTCATCAGTGAAGTTCATCGTTTGTTTCTCTAGAAAATAAATTTGAGATCTGCATGCTATTCAATAATAATGATAAGTCACTGTTTCTAGACTATAAAAATAAACTGTCTTCAAATTTTAAGCAACACTGTTTCTGGAATTTAAGTCACTTTACTTCTTGAATCCGAGTCGCTCTTTCTAGATCCAAATGAAATAGACACACTGTTTCTTAAATGTTAGCTAGAAAAGAAATAGTGAAATTCACTGTATTTGGATTCCAAGCAAATTAAGCACCTTGTTTCTTAAATATAATCAATTGATGCATGAAAGGAAAAAAAAGTCAAAAGTTAAAACATAGACTGTTTTTGGAATCTAAGTCATTGTTTCTGAAATTTAAGTCACTGTTTCTGGATTTTGGTTCTTTTCATTCCAGATACAGTGTTTATTTGTGCGAGACAAAACAAACATTGTATTTGATTTTTTTTTCCAGAAATAGTGTTATGTTTTGGGTTCTCCAGAAACAGCTTTATGTTTTTTTTTTTTTTCCGACACTTTTTCATTAATTTCCGCCATTAAACTTCTTTGAACTTGTGTTCGGCAGCTTTGTTCCAATGAATGCTTCCTTTTTCAACTTTGATTTGGTTGTTTTAGAAATGGAGGAATTCGATTTAGTTGTTTTTGCCACGCCGACACAAGCCATGGTC